GACAACCAAAAGTTGTACATATGGCTAGTATGTATCCTTGTTAATGTAACAAAGTCAGGGGTAGCCCTGTGGCTGCCCTGATATTCGATCCAAAGTTTAATAAAACTTGCCAAACCCCAAAATGGTCACCTTAACATTTTTTTTTTAAAAAAAAAAAGATATCATTATGAATTTGCCAGGACGGTCCCAAGGTGCTGGTTATCTGACTAAATACACAGCACTAATCATCCTTTTTCGTATTAACCAGCACCACATATCTGGTCAGATAACTAGCGCCTTGAAAGCCATCCTGACTAATTCATTGATAATAGTTAGAACTCAAATATATTATTAACCATATAAATATGAAAGAATCATTTTTTTGATCAATAGAATGATAATAACAAAATTATACCATTTTAAATATTTTTTGTAATATCACTAATAACCAATATGGAATGTGAACAAGCATAATTTTTTTTTAATAACTACATATAAATTTAGCAGTACTTTGATAAATTTACCTTATTGTATCGTTGCAAAGTAACACCCCGGGGGTGTTATTTTGAGACAAAAATTTTAAAACGAGTTAATAGTTAATTTTGCCAAAGATTTTTTTAAACTTTACTATTAAATAAATATTAAAGTTTAAAAAAAATCTTTAGCAAAATTAATTATTAACTCGCTTTAAAATTTTTATCTCAAAATAATGTCTGGAACATTATTTCGCAACAATACAATACAATAAATATGGTTCACATATGGTTATGTACAGTACATAGACAATTGATTATATTTATTAGGTAATTGATCGATATGTGCTTTTATATTTATATACGTACACACATAAATAAAGATATATGCATCATCTTAATGTGTTGTATGTTCATATGCTATTATGACTTTGGTATGATTGAAACAAATGATCTGTAGTGATATAATAATTTTATAAGGAATCAGACTTTTATTTGCAAAAACCTGTTTGCGGTTATTATTAAATGAAAGTTAACTGATGTTCTAGAGTCAGAAATATATAATAAAACATTCTGGCTTTGCTATTGTTACGAATATGAGATCAGAATTGAAAAAAAATAGGAATAAGGTGCTCATTTATTATAAAAGTCTGCAGATATAAATAAATCTAATAGAATATATTAAAATAAGTTATTGTTAGTATATCCAAATTTATAAAGTATTCAAAGCTCGAAGGCTTTTGCTTTCATATTTTTTCTTATTCATAAATATTTTTTATTGTTTCTTTGTATTGAAACGGAAACATTATTTGAAATAAATAGAAAGTTAACTTGCATTTATTAATATAAACTGAATTTTATATACAATTAGACCTCTCTAAATGCACACTATAAAGACCATACTTTTAACAAAGTATATTTAGAGAACAATAAGAAAATTGTATTTTATAAAGGTCAAATATATATTCAGGACAGAATTTGAGAATGTATCTTAGAGAGATCGCACATTTAAAGAAGGTGACTTATGGCGCTTTTCTATAATATATAAAGTTCCATCAATTCTATCTGTTAAATAATCGATTAAGATACATTAAATTTCAATTATACTATTATCAGAATTGTTGGACCAACATATCATTAAAACTAAAGAAAGATTTAGTAAAAGTAATGTCAAAATCTATTGCAAAGTATATGTCGAATCATTGGGTGAGAAAAAAGGCAAAGAAACAAGTTTTCTTAACAAAACAGATAGAATAGTTCAGCATTTAAAAAATTGTATATATTTTGTGAAAAGAATGACAGTAAAAGAGAGAGCAGAAATTTTTGCTCTTTCTATTAATAATGAAGAAACCTCAAATAAAAAACAACTAGATAAATGAAAGTTTATTTTATTTTTTATTTAGTTTTTCATTTAGTTGTCCATTATAATATAAATGTATTTTTTTTTTTATAGCATTATCTAATTTTTTATATGACTCAGGATTAAATTCTTTGAAATCTTCACACAAAGTTATTGTACGATCCTCTTCTTATAGGCCTCTTGATAATCATATAGTTCGACCATTGTCAAAACAGGATAATAAAAAATTCGAGATTCTTTTACTAAAATTAACCGTGTCTTGTGAGTAGGCTCTCAAATGGGTTAACAACCCTGAGGCAAAAGATTTATTTCAATTTTTAAATCCTTAGATAAAGCTTTCTGATCATCGTGTTCTTAATAGATATGTTTTAAATGCTGCTGTCTCTAAAAAAGATAAAACGATGCATAATGAACTTTGTTAAAATAAATATGGTATTACATTAACATTTGATGGGTGGACGAATGTGAAGAATAAGCAATTATTTGGTGTAATGGTTATCACTTCAGAAGGAAAACCACATGTATGGAAAGCAACAGATATTAGCACAGAAAGAGAATCATATGTTGAGATAATGGAGAAAACAAGAGCAATGATAGATGAGTTAAAGAATATAAAAATAAAGGTCTTAGCAGTTGTTATGGATAGTGCAGCTCCATATGTTGTGGCAAGGTATGATTTTGTTTTTTAAATTCTATTATGGATGTTTGCAAGCATAAGAGTAAGTTTAATGATCAAATTAACACAAGTAATAATTTATTACTTTGTGAATTTTAATTATTAAATACCATAGATTCCCGAAAATAAGCTACTCTGAAAATAAGCTACCCCCCTTCTTTTAAACAAAAAACTTAAAATCATCTATAACCCGAAAATAAGCTACCTTGTTATTTTAAATTAAAAACAATATAATAAAATTTAATTTCAAAAATAAGCTACACCTGTCAAAGCCAGTAAACAGGTTTTATCAGGTTTAAAAGACTCAGATTTAAGAGGTCTAATAGCATATATGTACACACAAAAGCATCCAACCACCCACCTATCCGTAAAGTCACTACTTGCCTCTTTCTCAAAAGACACTACCCGCAAAGACACCCACCCACCCACTTATGAAGACAAGAACCCAACCTTCCACCTACCACCTGTAAAGACACCTAGAGACGCCTATCCACCCTGCCTGTAAAGATATCCAACCATTCATTCACCATTCATAAAGACACCCACCCCATTCATAAAGACACCTAACCATCTGTAAAGACATCTAATTGATAAGTTTATTATTTTAACAGTGAGTAGTAAGTTTAGCAGTAAATTGTAAATATTTCATGACTCAAACAAAGAGTATGTTCATGATTTCAACAGCAAGTAGATTTGTAATCCAACAGTAAATGAGCTAATGATTTTGGTAATGAAAAAAATAGCAATCTGACATCACACGACGAAACAATTAAGTTAGAAATTTTAACTTTCAGAATTTTGGCATAGATACGAAAGTAGCCAAATATTTATTTAATATCTGTCTGCTTTGTCTAATTTTGGTAATTTGATAAGATATAATAATGTTGCTATCTATAACTAACGATACTTATTTACATAACTAGCATCATTTAGGTTATTCAATATCTATGTTTCACCTCGAGTCAAATCCGAAATAGCATTTGTTAATGCTATCTCATATGCCAACTATTGAATATTTCCCATTACAATGGGTTACAACGAGTTGTTCGCTAGTCTTGATTAAAATCTGAATCTACAATGTAGTGTGATCGATCTATTTAAAATTTAAAACAATGCTTGGCGAAATGAGGCAGAACATAATAAATGTAAAACTGAGCTTGAATTGAGGCCGAAAGTTATTGCATCGATTATTTTCAAAACTAGCTTTTATATATTTGTGTTAAAGAGAGAGAATTTTAAATGTTAATTGTTTTCTGCTACATCTGATCTTCTAATTATTAGTTAGCTAAAACTGATTAGCAAAGCCTCTCGTATATAAAGTTCTAGTATATATATTTAAATTGCATCTGCATTATTGTGAATTTTGATTAAAACTTTAAATTAGCCATTAATGATTATTAAATATGGTAAAAAAAATGTAGAGTTTAAAACCTAGCCGAGCGAAGCGATGCAAAACATAAAAAACTTAAAACTCAAGCAAAGCTATGAACTACAAAAAAAAACAAATAGAATACCATCTTAATATATATTTTTTGATTTCAATTAATCATATATTATCAAATTGTCAGTGTCTGTTAATACCATATTCTGTTATATCTAATTATCATTATTAGTTGACGTACTTATTTAATAGTTTCGGGTTTTACTCCTCTGATTTGGCTAAAGCTTCAGCATGTTTTTCATTAGCGATTTTCATCTTGCTGCCCAGCATTTTCAGATCTAATTCCCCTTGGCAGTAATAAGATTTCTTAGGATATAGTCTGTAAAATAATAAAGTGTGAAGTTGAAATAAAATCAAGTGAAACAAGGCCGATAGTATGTAAAGTTATTATCTAATAATAAGTCAGCGGCAAAGCCGCCCACCATATACAAGTCTAGTTTGTAATAATTTCAAATATCGGGCCTCTGTCTAATTATTTTCATTTTGGGCTCTTACTTGTAACTATTTTCGTTTTTAGGCCCTTATCTGCAAATTCCTCTTAAAAAAATAATAAAGCACAAATCCGGTTTGCTTGAACCCAATCTGAGTTCAAGTAAATCTGATTTGTGTTTATCGAATTCCAAGTTTTATAACCCGATAATAAGCTACCCTATCGGCTAAGCATAAACTCTTTAAAATCTGTAAACCCCGAAAATAAGCTACTATCTATTTTTTATACTCAAAAAAGCTTAAAAAATGGTAGCTTATTTTCGGGAATCTACGGTAATATTTTTTATTAAAATCAGAAATCCTATAAATAAGAATAATCAAATTAAATGTATTTAAGATAAATTATGAGATATTGAACCTTATACATATAACAGTTTTCATGATCTGTATTTTGTTAACCTTGATAAAGTTCAATAATCTAGCAATTGAATAAATATTTAAGTGCTACCAAGTAAAAAACTCTAGTTTACTATGGAATACTTAATCAGTTCTGAAAATTATCATGCTTTTTAAATTTTGTGATCAGCAAATTTCATGTATCACACTGGGAATCAGAAATCGCTGATCACAGTAATTTGAAAAGCATGATAATATGTTGATATAATTAGAATATTTTTCATATTTCACTTTGCGATATTGCATAATTTATACAATCATATGATTTATAGCCACTTTGCAGTAGAAAAGGCCTATATGCTATATATATTGTATATAGTATACGTAGTATTTAGGCCCTTTCTACTGCAGAGCTCTTATATCTATACATAATTATATGATATCAAAGTAATGCTATCATATATAGTTTTTTTTTCATATTATCTTTAATATTCACATATATATAGTTGCTATATATAACTTTATCAGATCAGATGCTTAACTTATTTTTGTAAATTATTTTATTAACATTAGACAGAGATTAAAACTTACTGAAAGGAGCATAGTATTTTTACTATGCTTCGTCTATCAACTAAATCTATGCATTGGTGAAGTTTTTAAAGAATTGACTGATTTGAAAACAACAATAGATCATGCGATTAAATTATTAGTATATTTTAAGAATTCAAATCACAAATTCTTTATTGGAAAGTTATATGATCAACAAAAGCTAATTTACAATAAATATTACAGAATTGTAGTTCTATTGAAAACTCGTTGAAATAGTTATTACATAGTAGTGACCAGTTTTTTGAAAAGTCAACAAGCTTTGAAGGTGTTTTATCAATTACAAATCGGCTTTTTATAATTTAGTATTAATTTTTTTTTAAAAAAGTTATTTTATTTATTTATTTATATATTAATATTTAATATTATAAAATTTCTTTAATATATCTTTAGGTCCTCGCAATTAATCACCAACCACCTCTTGTTCAAGCTCGGTGGCAAACTAGAGAAAATCGAACTATAAATCAAGGTATTTTTGAAATTATTGATTCTGGTACCTTTTGAACAAACTTAATGACAATTGCTGAAATTATGTATTCTTACTATAAAATATTGAATATTTTACAATATAATAATGCAAGATTAATTCATATAATGCATAGTTTGCATATTTGGTCCAATTTTGGAATAATCATATGGATCAACAACTAGCAAACAAAATTTTAGCCCGATTAGACAAAAGGTAAAGCAGCTGGGAACAACTACTTTTGATTCTATCCTACTTGTTATATTCAAAATACTAATTGTTCTATTTTAGAAACAAATTAGTGATAAATTATACACAGCTAGGAGAATATTTAAAGTATTATTATAAAGCCTGGGCAGGAAAAGAGTCTACTTATATTTTGTGCGAATTTAATAATTTTTCAATGAAGATTTATTTATTTAATGACAAAATATATGCCGAATTTAATGATATTTTGGAATATTGGATTTTTGTTGCAGATTTGACAAAAGAATTAGGTATAGTAGCTTGTTGATTATATGGAATTTGTGTAAATGCAGCTGTTGTTGAATGTCTTTGGAGCTGCATAGGATTCTTGTAAACAAATTGAAGAAATCGATTAATAGTAATAGTTTTTTTATTAATTATCATTATTATATAAGTGCTGCCAAGACAAAACCTGTAAGCAAATTTTAAAGTATCAAGACAAGTTTAAACTCTAGGAAAATTGTAGTATTATGTAATTTTCTGGTTGTTTCTATATCATGTGCACTTGTCATTATTTAGATTCTAAGTTTTGTTAAATGATACAATAATTTAATATGTAATATTACAATTTTCTCACTTTATTGATATTGATATCTCAAAATTTGCTTACAGGTTTTGCCTTGGCAGCACTCATATAAATCAAGAAATGCATTAAAATTATCATAATAGTAAAATTTTTAATGATCACTTGGTTGTGTAATTTATTGATTAATAATCAGTTCCAGAATAGTTAAGGTTATATAGTTAAATTTTTTTAGT